TCCCTGGCCCCAGAAGATTCACATTCCTTCCTCCCCGCCCAACCCCACTGTGGAAGGGACCAGAGACACAGTGTCAGCCTGTGAAAGCAGTTTAATGACAGCACCAGGGCCACCTCCTCAACCACATCATAACATATCTATGTAAATTATATACATATAATTCTACGCTCTAACCGCTCTATTACATAATTATATAAATTATATAAAGAATCACCCATGATTTAAAATGTCACTGGCTACGTGATTATTTGGGGTTTCACTGGCCTGCATATTTCCTGTTGTCTGACCGCCACTTTCTCTTGATCTGTATAACGTGTGATATGTATAATCTGCTGAAGAAAGTCTCTTCTCATTACACGCTTCCCCACCGCAAACTACTAAGGGCTTTTCTCCTATATTTTTTCTTCTGGAAGAACTTACTTTTTTTTTAGTTGCCAGACCATTTTATTTAATACTTTACATATTTGAATAAATGATTAAAAAGCAAATGTTTATTTAGAGTTGCACCAAAGGAAAATATAGGGAAAGCAATAGTTTGTTTGCCAAATTCATTTGGATGTGGGGTCCATTCATTAAACTTAAAAAAAAAAAAATTCTGTGAAACTGGGGCTTTAAAAACAGTAGTCAGGATTAATTCTGTTCTTGGATTCATGGTTCAAAGAAGTCATTATGTTTTCTTTGTTTCTGGATGTTGTAGGTTTAAAAACATATTGGTAGAAACATGCAACTTCTCAAATGGATTAGTCATCAAGAGACCAATTTGTGCCTATAAACTAAAAATTAAAAATAAATATTTTCAGAGATTAAATTATTGAACAGTATAACAAATAAGGAGATGTTAATAACTTTCCAGAAGGAACAAAAACCATATTAATAAAGAGTGGTCTTTTTCATTATTCTCAAAAATTCTTCCTCGTTTATTTCACCATCCCCATCTCGATCAGCTTCATCAAGCAGTTCCTGAAGTTCATCATCGTGAAATTTTCTCCTCGTTCCTTAGCAACCCTCTGGATGGTGTTGAGTGTTATGCTGCCAGGATCATTACCATCAAATAATTTGCAAGTCTTCAGTATTTCTTCTTTTTCATTTATTTTTATATTCAAATGGCAAAAAAAAATCTTCAAAACTAATGGTACCAATTCCTTCTTTGTTAATTAAAAGTGCACATTTGAATTTTAAAAAATCCTGTGGGGGTGATATGATTCGTCCTGTTGGCTTCAGGCCGTGCTTTGGGAGCGTGTGGTTTTACAAGGTTAGGCCTCCCGAGCCGAGAACGCGGCCACCTCTCCACTCACTCTGGTTTTGTTCAAGTCTCACGTGGAGGTTTTGTCGTTTTCTTCATGTAGGAGCAGCCTGTTCGCTCATGCCTTGTATTTGTGAATCACATCTTTCCTCCCTTTAATTTTCTTTTCTTTTTTTTTTTTTTTTTTTTTGTCTTTTGTCTTTTTCCGTGTCTGGCAACGGATCGCAACCCTCAGTGTTGCCCCCGTACCGGACCGGGGACCGGCAACGGGACCGCAACCCTCGG